CTGCCAGGAGGACTTCTTGGTTCGCTCTAGTCAGAGCTACCTTAGGGCTAAAGTGTTTGAAATTGAACATGGTGTTTGCCAGTTTTGTCATCAAAACGCCCAAGAGCTTTATCTCAGTGTCAGGGGAGCACCCAAGAGTCAGCGGAAGAAGCTTCTGGAGGGTTCCTGGATGTCTCACCTTCCACTTGGGCAGGTAATTTGAGAGCACTAATAGCTCATCTGTGTGTTCTTGTAGCAGGTAGTCCAGAGAAATCCAAAATGTTCTTATGGGTTGAAGTTTGAAGGTTAACCTGGCACCAGCACCAGGATAAGAAAAAACAAAATCTAACACACTTTTCATTGCTGAAAGGCACAGGCATCAGCTGTGAATACTGCAGCCAGATTTATCTGAAATGCACTTTGTTAACAAACTTTATGGCTGACACAATTTAAGAACAGATGTAGTCTAGCAGTACTAGGTTACTCCTCCTTTGCAGAATGCTTGGCAAGAGCTTAACAAAAGCCAGTTGTCCCAGCTGACCTCACTATCACCGCAAAGTGCATCACAAACTGCCACCGTTCTTCCACGGTCGTGATTGCTTCTTCACTGACTTGAAGGCAGTGGAGCCAGGAGGGACAAGATTCCTGTGTAAGGTGGTATTTTTATTCAGAAACTAAAATGCTATTTCATTTTCTGCTACAGAAATTACTGATTCTGAACTGTTTAAATAAATTCTGCAGGCAGCCATTGACAATTGCAAAAGAGAAAGGAATGTAGTCACTTGTTGTATGCATCAGCTTTGTTGCTTACAGTTTTGCAAAGTGAGGTGGTGCACGTCTGAAAGCCTGAGATGAGTGGAATGAGTTTCTTACAGCCCATGAATAGAATTCTGTGTTGTTACTTTTTTCAAAGTTGACATAGGGCTTTATCACCTAAGGTTTCTCTGTGCTCTCTATTATTTGTCTTGATCAAATAACTTAAAATTACAGACTCTTAACTAGGAGTCTACTTTAATCTGTTGTGCATTTTTACTTCCATATATTTGTTTTTAGTATCAGCACTTGATGATAAAATGGTGGCACTGAGGGTAACTTACTGTACCAGGCAAGAAAATTGAACCTTTCATTCTGTTTTTTCTTGATCCACTGCCCTGTGCTTCAGCCTGCTGCAGGCAAGGAGAAAATACTCCACCTAAACTTGGAGTGGTCTGCTTATCCAGAGGGAGTACCACAAAAATGTCAACACTACTTTCTCTTGATGAAATCTATCAATAGCTGCTTCTCTTGTTCATGTAGTTCAGAAGGAGTATCTAACATGTCGTATTCTTTGTTTCCTGCAGCTGAATGAGATGCTAACAAATCCCACAGAGGGCCAGTTCTGGCAGGTGGACCATATCAAGCCTGTTTACAGTGGAGGAGGACAGTGCTCCCTGGAAAACCTGCAAACTCTGTGTACCATCTGCCACAGAGAGGTCAGTGTGGGACAGACAGACATCATCACCTGGGAAATGTTGTGGGATGACACCAGGGCAGTGTGTACAACCTTACACAAGTATTTTGGGCACAGGGACCGCTGGAGATGAGGCAGCCTGACTTGGGGCTCAGGGCTGGGCTCAGCACCACCTCACCCCTCCCAGCACCTGCCTGCCCTCCTCCTGTGTCCAGCAGGAATGCCCCTGTGCTACCTCATGCCCCTGAGAAAGGCCTGCCTCTTGGCCTCCTGCCCTTCCTTTCAGCAGTAGAAGACTAAGTAGGTTCCTCCTCAACCCTGTTGTCTCCAGCTGAACAATGGTGAACAAGTGTTCAAGGCCAGGCTGGATGGGGCTTTGAGCAACCTGGTCTAGTGGGAGGTGTCCCAGCCTGTGCAGGTGGGTTGGAACTAGATGGGTCTTTAAGGTCCCTTCCAATTCAAACCATTCTGTGATTCTATAACCCCTGTGCTTCCAGCCTCTCCATCTCTCCAGGGTAGATAAAAGGTGGTATTAAACTGTAACAAGACTTGCCTCAGGATTTGGGAAAATGCCACCTTAATAAACATTTGCATTTTATTATGTAGTCTACTTCAAATTTAGGCTGAAGCTTAACCCTGGGCTAACCCTTTCCATCCACCACCCTGTTGCCAGGTAACAGCACTTACTGAACAGCCCTCTCTTGCTCTCTGCAGAGAACTGCAAAACAGGCCAAGGAGAGAAGCCAGATGAAGAGACGTTCTTCAGCGACAAAGTATGGCTGTGATATCACCAAATTTTTTGTGAAGATGTAAGATGCAAAATATATTTAGTTACAGCACAACTCAAAAATTGGTAGCATTGTAGTTTTCCTCGTGCACTGACTTGAAAAAAAATCCTTGCAGTCTAGTGTGCTGTTGTTAGAGGGAAGAAAATGCTGAATTAAAACCAAAAAATCATTTATATTATGATGGTCAGAGGGCCCTGGGTGAGTGCATCCAAGGTATGTGATTATGGTTATATTTTTATGACCCCATAGTTTAAATTCCCGAGGGTAAACTTAGTGCCATTTTGAAGCATTACTGTTTGCCTGTTACAGGGTAGGTCTAATTGCAAGAATTTGAGGAAGTTCTGGTGAAACTTCCATTAGTCTTAAGGGTTCAGTTGTACTGGGGACATCACGGACCAAAGAAGACAGCTTAGCTGCAATTATTTTCTTTGTTCTTGTATCAAAATTACTGGAGAAAATACAGGCTCTGATCTCTATTATGTAAAAAAACAGCAAAAGTGAGTAATTTGTCTCTTCTAAAACTGTCTCATACCTACAAAACCTTTTCATAGCAGCCTTGGGAATGCTCTCAGCAGCTAGGAGAGCCCAACTGTTGGCCCAGGGCCAGACATTTAAGGCTTTGGCATTTAGAAATAATGTCTGTTCAAATCTGTTTTTTCTTAAACCAGCTTGTATTAAAAATTATAATGATAGGGAACAACAAATATTACCAGTTATCTCATTAAAGGTAGTTTCTGGCAAATGCTGCAGGCAGTCTCTTCAACAAGATTGCAGATGCTGGGTCTTTTGGATTGTGTATGTGGCTTTCTTTTTAGTTATTTCAAATAAATATAGTTCTCTTTTCCCTGGTGATTTTTTTTTCCATGATCTATCAGTCTCTCTCCTGCCCCTTGAAGGCTGTAAGGCTACTGGAAGTTCACAAAGCAGATCCCTCCACTACATCTTTTTCTGGAAGTACATGACTGCAATTTCATGTGCAGCTAGTTAAAAATAAGCTGAAACACTTTCTAGGTTATCCTTATGAGAAAAGGGCCTTAAAGTTTTAAGCATGCTTTTACTCAGTTAAGATTTGAGAGGATAGTGAATGCACCATTTTCTATAGAATGGAACTAACTGGATTTTTCCAGCAAAGCCACAAACATCTTTAGGCAACTGCCTGAAAAAGTGGTATGTGGTGTTTGTAGTCCTTCAGTGATGACAGGAATCATCTCTTCAGCAGTTTTAAAAGACCAAGTCAGAATAGCTTGATCACTGAGGGATTTTTCAAGTTTATATATACAGCCTTTACAAGAGGACATATTTTAATGTAAAATTTGATAAAGGTAGCACAGTCACAACAGGAGGAAACCAAGAATATCAAGGAGGAATCTTAAAAGTACTTACCCAGTCATTAGCCAAGAGCAATGTCTTTTACAGAAGCTAGACATTAAACAAGAGCTAAATTGGTCTTTGTCTTTCTCATCCCTTTTATCAGAGGAATCTGCCTCAGGTAAACTACAAAAAGCCTGGAAAATAAGTTCTGTGACAAGATTTTTCTCTGAAGAAACTTAACTCTTGATCCTGAAAAACTGTACTTCTATTTGATACAGCTACAGCTGAATCGGACACACTGGGCCCTTTCACCCATCCCCTCTAGGCAGTTTTATGGCCTGAGACACAACTTACCTTTCTCCACTTAATGTAGTTATAAACAATGCTGTTCTAGGTCAGAGCATGGAAAGATGATATTTTCAAAGCATTTTGACAAAAAGTATTCTTCCCAAAGAAGTCTGAGAGCCAATAATAAGTTCAGATTTATTGAGTAACATGACTGATACTGCAGCTGTTTTTACATTTCATTTTGTCACGTAACGCTGATCTTTTCCTGATTCTCACTAGAACACAAAGATCACTGTAAAGCAACATTGGCACCTACAGGACATGGTGTTTGCATGGTATCTGAGGGGTTCATTTACAGCAGGTGGGAGGATTGTTCTAACAGATCCAAGACACAGCATGCATTCAAACAGTCTCTGTAAATAGCAGCAGGTTGCTTACAGTGAAACACCTCTACATGTCCATTGACATACAGGATTATATCCTTCCCCATGTGCAACAGCCAAAGCTTCCAAACCTGTCAATGATCCACTGGAAGTTACCAGCCTTCCTCTCCACTTGCACGTCTCAATATACTCACTTCTGTTTGAGAGAAGTGTCCAAGATGAAGCTCGTGGACAACTGCTGCAATGTTAGGCACAAACTAGAATGTACTGATAGTTTAAATAAAATTGAAAATATTTTAGAGGTATTTGCAACTTAGTGATTAACCCAATAATACTGGGCTCAATACTAATGATTAACAATAACTACTAATTATTAAAGTTTGCACATCAATTTAAGAAGACTAATGTCACTTGATAAAGTCTGATTAAGAACTGTAAAAGCAGCACATGCTGCATGAATTTCAACGTGATATATTTGCATACAGCCCATTTGTGTCCTTTGTTAAACAAGCTAATGCAAAAAAATTATACGCTCCTTTGGACAGAGAGGAGATTGCTAAACTTTCTTTCTTCCCCAAAGAGCCAATTAAAACTACCTGTGAAGCCATTCCAGACCTCCATCTTAGAGTCCCCTGCAGGCATCTTTCTTGGCTACCAATTCAGCTCTGTCACTGGGAAGGTGCCACCCCAGCCCTTTTGTCTCCTCACCACAACCAGTCAGTCTGTAAGCCTGAACTTCCCCAAAGGAAAATGAAGAACATTTTGCTCGTGAAGACACACAAGATAACGCAGCAGATTACATCAGAAGAACGTTGTATCTGCTGAAAAGGCACCTGCAAGTCGAAAATCTTCCTTGGTCAGCACGCTGTACATGCGCTGGGGCAAGGGCTTGGAGTAAGGAGCAGGACGGGGGACCGTGGTGCGCAGGATCACCTCCCGACCCGTGGGCGGTGGGAAATCTGACACCGCCCCCGGGGTGAGTCTCCGCTCCTCAGAAGAACCCGATCTCCTCAACTGCTCCTCAAGGGGAGGCACCGCGGACACCTTAAATAAGAACAGAGGAATGATCACAGGCAAGCTGTTTCCTAACATCAGGGTTCAGAAAATACTTGGCAAGAGGAACCGAGAAAGGTTAGAAATGGTAGATACATCAAAAGGCTTTATGTGTACATGGAGCAAGACACTAATGGGGTGTCAAGAAATAAACTGTGAACAACCAAATGCAAGAACCCTCGTGTGGATGGTGAAGCTCAGCCTAAGCTCCTGGGTTTTTTGACAGTGTGAGGCAAGGTTTTGACCAGACCAAATGCCTCCTTCTCAAGCAGGCTCTCTCCTCAGCTCTCTGTGGCTACATGAGGCCAAGCCAGACACCTCTTTAAAAATAACCAGCACCACTGCTGAAGTGTTGACAAAAAGTCACCTTCCTCTTAAAACTCAGAATGCTTCTTTGGTATGTGCTTTCCATGGCCAAAGAAAGGCTTGCTGAAATCACACATCACGAGCAAGCAAGAGGCTGTGCCATCTCTATCCATGCTCATCAGCTCAGAGCCAGTAAGCAGCAACGCTCAAGCCTGAATGCTGGAAGAAGGGCTGGCATGCTCCCATCAGCCCCATAAACACTCCTGAATTACATACACATATCTATACACCCACACACATGAAGTACCCTAATAGGGTCCTCATTTAAGTGTACACACCTCAAGATTAGACCCACTTCACCCCTGCTCCCACCCCTCTCCCCTTCCCCCCCCAAATCCCCAGGAGAGGGACCCAGCATTGCTCAGCTAGAGCCACAGGAGAAGTCAGCAGGGACAAGCACCACCTGTTCCCACAAGAGCAGTTCTAGGAAAGCAACAGAGAGGATGTTCCCTGTGCTGCACCTCACTACACCTTTCTTCCCCAAACCTCTCTATCCCTGTCCAGAAAGTTCAGCAGTTTCACTAAGTTCTGGTAACCAGGACTGCAACATTCAGGTACACCCACCACTACCTCCCCCAAAGCTTCTGGCTGTTCAATAAACAAAAAACAGTGAAGCTACAGAGAAGAATATAAAAGTATAGCCACATATTTCAGCATCAGAAAATATTAATGTTCACTTGAATAAATGTGTTTGATTTGGTTTTTTTAATCTGGTTTTGATTTGTTTTTTAAGGATTTCTCTCTCTTTTCACTACCCATCTGTGAATGAGGAAAAACCATTCTGGAAACAAAAAAAATATTCTTATGCTTAATATGTGAACAACAGTACAAACTAGATCAGGCTGCTGTACTATATCTAGCAAAAGGCTAAACTCTATGCAGCTAGGGAAGATGAGTGGGAAACGAGGGACAAAGTTGGTTACCTCATCAGAAGATTCAGTCAGCTTGGAAAGGGTTGAGAAAAGAACCAGGGATGAAAGGTAGAAACAAAGGCAAGTCAGAGGTGACTTACAAGAGGTTAGAAGGAGACTGTAGGCTTAAGAGACATCATGCACTCAAGAACATGCATTTGCTACCAGAAATTTCCTGAGGAAACTTAAGATAATCCACCCACTTTACACAACCCACAAAGAGAAGTCCAGGTTCAAAAGGTAACAAACAAGGAAGTCATTCAACTTCTTATTTACCAAGCAGTTCTCTACTGAAATAAGTCACAGCAGGTTAAACATAAGGGGTTTTTTGTAGCAAATTAGCTCCTGTCCCACAAATAAGTCTTAATTAACAGTTACCAACTCCTAGCAGGAAGCACCTCTAACCTAGATTTAGTTACTGATGTTTCAAAAGAAACAAAACCCTAGAAGTTTATATACAACGTTATCTGGCATTAAAACTAGAACTCTTACTCAGGTTTAAAATGTAATGCCCCACTATTAAGAACAGAAGTGCAAACACTTACACACACAGGGCACAATCTGAGGCTTTACAGGCAAGTCTGCAAACTAAAATAAATCTGTAAATCTCTTCTCTCATGCAGAGATTTCCAACCAGATTTTTGCTAGAGACTAGAAGAGTAAAATAAATATTCTGACACTCGTTTCTCAGACTAACCATGGTCTGTTTTCAGAATGGTCCTTTTTATGCTGAGTTGCAAAACACAGATTATTACAAAAGCATCCATACCTTAACAGTGTTTAATACCCAATCACAACATTGTTCCAGCAATTATGTCCAAATAGGATTTCAGACTCTTAAGATGTACCCTGCCTTGCTATTACCACTGTTAAATTTTAGTTAGGTAGTTTGATGCTATGAGCAGGTGTAATTGTGACAGAAACTGAAGGCTGACTGCAGTCCAGGAAGTCTGGAAATCAAGACTTTAAAGCTAATTATTACAAGACTGCACAAGAGACAATAGGAATGTTTACATCACTATAGGCTAGGGAAGGGTTTCCAGAAAACAGGTTCAACACTAGCAATAAGTAAACTGAATGCAGAGTTGTACTGGAAAAGAACTGAAACTCTTCCTAAGCATGCTGGTTTCCACAGAAGAAATCTCAAGTATTCCAAGTATAAGCCTCAGTTTAAAAAGTTGCTCCTTCCAAAATACTCAAACAACAAAGTGTTTCTCAACACTCCTCTGTGAAACATTCAACACACTTGACTGTTCTTGCTGTGATGTTGCATATATCGTGTAACTTGAATAAAGCAGAGATTTGTGCCACAATAGCATTACTGAGGTTACCATTTGAAGGAAATCAAACATCAATGACACATCTATCTACCCAGTTCACTTTCAGTGTTACATGGCCCAGGTGATCTGCTCTTCTTTCATCTTGCAAGGTTCCTGTTATTGCCAAAATCACGTTGAACATCACAAAAACACCCCTCAAGCACATTTATGACAATACATGCATATATGCAGACAAAATAGACTGGCATCATATGATAGGTTTTAGCCTGGTAGCGCTCAAATTAGAAGTGCCTGCAGAGCTCTCTTACCCTCTGAGCATTCACAAACAGCTTGTGAATAATGCTGCCAGCAGGTCCTCTTCCTGCACCAATGACTGACACTTCTGGCTGCTCCAGGAGACAGTTAACAAATCTGGTGGTACAAGTTATTGAAAAGGAAAAAGGAATTATTAATTCTCAGATGTATCCAGTTTGCTAATCTAAAACCAGAACAGTTTCCTGTGAGGAGGTCTCCACCTAGCATTGTTTGTGCAGAGTGAGAACTGGCAGACACTCTTGAGAGTTCTAGAAAAAACCCTGACATTTCTCAGCATCCCACAGAAACTCTATCGTCGCCTTTTCATCTCTTGACTCCTCTCTCTATTCTAAAGACTAAATCCCCTTAGCCTTTCAGCTGTATCTGTCTCTCTCCAGACAGCAGCAAGTAGTAAATAACCTGACAGCAGGTAGTGAAGCAGTGAAACATGGCTTGTTTCAGATGGTTCCTGAGTCACATCTTTCCAAATAGTAAGGAGACTAGAATAATATAACTTTGGAAAGTATTTCATTCTATACTAGTTATGGAAACATTAAATTACTAGTCCTAATTTTACCTCTACTGTAACAAAGTTCATCAAATGTACTTTTTGCATACATAAAAAAACATGAGTTAAATCCCTAGTACTGTCAAGATAAAAATAAATCCCATTAAAATAATCTCTATCACATGTCTTGAGAGAGATGGTTACTCAGAAGAACACTGAGGGTGCCCACATATAGTATCTCTAGGTTGCCCAGGGACAGGGAGACCTAATATTTATAGCTACTAAAAAATTATTCCTTAGTAGTGCTGTATTATCACCACTTCCATCTCTATTGAATTTTTAAACTACAAAAAATTGGCATCAGAGGAAAAAAAAACCACAAAACAGGTAGAAAAACAGTAATAATAATAAAAAATGCTCACCTTTGTAGATCCTTCTCCTCCTCATTTTCACATTTTTCTGCCCCAAATTTTGCTTTCAGAGACCTGGCCCTGGCAATGGTAGCTTCCACACCCATAATCTGACCAATTATTTCCTGCAGGAGTTTAATCAAAGTGAAAATTTAAAAGATGTTATTTTAGCACTCCCACAAACAGTGTAGAAGTCTATTTTTACTAAGTTTTTTAAGCCAGTATAACAGCCTTACTTCCAACTTCTTGTCCTCTGGATTGGGGAATCGTAGAACTTTACTGGAATGGTATATTATCTGCTTAATAATGTTCTTAACTGAAGATATATCTTCTAGTGCTTCTATTAGGAGGGAAACAAATGAACAACTTGTAATTACTGCACCACTGTTCACCCTAAAATATCTCAATAATGTATTAAACATTATTTACCTTCTTCCTTTACCTTGAGTACAGCTGCATGGATGATGCAAGGCAAGAGATGCCGTGCAAGGTCAGCTGGTTTCTGCACTGCAAGGTAATGAAGCACCTATAACAACAGAAAATTGAATTGATTAGTGATCAAAACTGCTTCCCAAAGATAAGGTGAACTACAAAAGATGAGCATCTACAACACTGAAGAATTGACAAGAAGGGAGCACTGTTTTAAGACACGATCCAACAGGCAGTTTTATGTGAATCCTCAGTGATTGCTTACAGGTTAGAATGACACTAGAAAAAACATGGTTTAGGAACACTTTTGTTTCCTAACACACAAATACAGATAAAAATCTTTTTTACTTACTAGTAATTCAAAGTACCACCTAGATAACGACAACTTGTGAAGTTACACTCCACACACTGATTATTCTAGATACTTCAAACACGCTCTTGTATAGCACCAAGAATTTCTGATTAACCCTAAGCCATGTACAAACAGTTTAATAACTCCAAGGACGCAGTGCAGTGATTTTTTAACATTTCAATCTTGCAGGAGGAAGAAGAAAGGGCTGCTAGAAGCAGTACAGATCAGACTATCAGTAGCCATGGAGCTTTTTACCTTCTCTGCCTCTCTAGTGTCATCAAAGAGTCTCTTCTGCCTCCGGGCTGGGATTGGTTTTGCTGTCTCCCAGGCCTCTACCCACATGTTGCTGGGAATCTTCATCCGGGCGCTCAGCTCGCCCTTAATTACTCTGTTCCCCTTTTCATCAACCACCTCCTCTTCAATGTAATCCCGAGGGGAATACCACCTCACAAAATCCTCCAGACAACAGCCAGGATTAGCTGCCTGGAATGCAGAAGAGAGAAACTTTGTACCTGAAAAATCCTATAAAAATGTAATAACCTGGGTAGGAAGGCAAGACAGTTTAGTGAGTAGTTTAGTAAGTAGAACAGAGGCTAGGAGCCAAAACTCAGGGAATTCTGCTCCCAGTCAGCAAACTGTGCACTAAAAGAGGAACCTGGCAGGGTAAGGGGATAAACTAAGTATAAACCAAGACAGTGACAGGGAGGAAAAACCCACACCATCACCAAAAAACAAAGACAACTTCCTTTTATCCCCCCCAAACAATACATTCATCACTTATTTCAGGCAAGCTCTAAATTATACTGCCAAGTAAAGTTTCTGTCTGAACTTGATACATGCAAAAAATAGGAATTTTCTCTAATTTTTTAAAGTATAAGCTTATAGCATTAAAGACTAAGATGAAAAACAGCCCAAGCCTAAAAGAATCACTGGGCGGCACAAACATGCTGTCAGCACTGACACTCCAGTAACAAAATTCACTTTTTTCTTCTTCCTTTAAAAAGAAAAAATATAAATCTCCCCAAAAAGAAAAAACCTTGATATTTTCATAGATGCAATATCAACAGAATGAATACATCTATAGGTCTAGAAAACAAAAGGAAACCCAGCTTTCTATTCCACATACCTATCAGGGCTGCATTTCCACTTCAAATTATGGTTTTATATTCTTGGAGTTTACAGATCACTCACACCATAGAAATAAAACTGCTACATATATATAATATGACATGAGTCACTGCTAATAAACATACTGACATGCTCTGACTCTATAGAGTCTATCTTTTTACTACAAAGTAGTACTGCAAATTTCTCTTTTTCAAATCTATTTTGTGACAGAATTTCCAGTGTTTTTAGAGTTTTCAGATCCTTTGATGGCAGCAGTGTTATGTGCTCTTGGCTCCCCCTGCAGAGCTCAGAAAAGAAGTGGAATAAATTAACCAAAACCAAAGCTGCTCCAGTCTCACTTCAATGACCAGCTGTACAGGACTTCTAATATTAAGAACTTACCCTTCCTATTAAAAATAGCACATTTTTTTCAATTATACATAAAAATTACGTTCACATTCTTAAAGTCTAAATGCAGAACAGTGAATGTGTTCATGGATAGTTTTTTTCTTTACACGACCTTTACATTTTATCCATTTGGAGTCCAATTGAAGGTGTATTTTACAAAATTAGACACAGTATTTTATAAAATTAGTACAGGTATGAGACACCAAATAAAAGCTACAAAGGAGGGAGACAGATGTAATTTTGACTCAGGACTTTGATGCCGAGTTTTCTTCTGACATGGGCTCATCTGAGTTTTAATTCCCAGTTTATCAACTGTATGTTTTGGGGTTTATTTTCACTCCCACAGACATTGTGAAGATGTACTGGACCACTGCAGCATAACAGACTGGATAGTCACAGATTTTTACATGTTCTAAGAGTTTTATCAATTTTTTTTATTTTCAACTTGGAACTATTTCAAAACTGTTAGGTGGATAAAAAAAACCCCAAAACTTGTCAGAAAAATCTTCAAAATTGTTCCACAGAAGCAAGAGGGATAATTTAATTAAGAACAAAGAAGTCTCACAGAGTTCTTTAAGTAGTAGTACCTTAAAAGACTCCATATCTGAGAGCAAGCAGGCACTCTGCATGCGTGCCCGGAGATGAGCACCTTCTGCTGATGTCCCTAATTTTGCCAGTACCTCAGACTGTTCTTCCAGCAAATCTTCAGTCATAGGTGCTGGTTCCTGTAACATGGAAAAACACAAGTTTACAAGCAGCCTCTCCTAGACTTAGCTCTTCTTAAGGAAGGAGGAGTGGAACTGTCCATGTCACCAAAATTCTTCCTACTTTCTTTGTATTCAAAGGAAATAATTGTCACTTTCTACTGCTAAAGCTGTTTAGCCTCAAGCTGTGCGCCTGAGGAAGACACTAACAAAAAGAAATTAAAAGAAAACAACCTGAGAATGAGCTACCTATATATATTGTTAAAATGCCAAAATCCAGATGAAGTCCAGGAAGTATTTGACTGATACTATTTTGTTAAGATGGATGCAAATCCATCTGAAGCGATAGAGAATTTTTGCCAGTGATACTGTCATCAGAAAATTAGGTGACAACACTTTGCCTGGCTACACACATACCTTTTACCCACAGAAAAGCAACATCCAGCTAAAATTTATCTAAAGTACATGAAAAATACTGTATTCTTCATGCATGGCAGATTAAAACTACTTCCTCTGACACCACTCCTCCTATTTCATCCCCTCTCACTGTGCAAGAATGTCGGGTAACATTTCTAGCTGTTCAATGATAAACCAGTCTGAGACAGTGACACCAAAATTGATGGCTAATCGCCTTTTAGTCATGAGTTGAGAAATGTTTTTGGGGCTGTTTGATGTTTTTTTAAAAGAAAAAAGAAAAAAGCAGCAGTAAAACTGATCTAGTACTCTGGTCAGTCAGCTATAAATCTCCACGTGGTAGAAGGACCATGGCAGTTCCTAGTTTACAGGAAAGAAAGTAAGGTGGGGGTGGAAAATTTCTCAAGAGCTAGACATATAAGACACCCAAATGTAAGGTAGGTAAGACAGCTTAATTCTTGTTTAAAAAAATGTTTTGGGGTGAAATGTAGTAAGGAGATTCATTCTCACATAAAACAAAGAGCATGTGACATTCCAGTTTAACAGCCTCATCAAGTTTTAAAAATGGAAAACAAAGTCTTAGGCCAAAAACAATTAGGAATTTTAACAAGAGATGAGGCTATAACCTGCAAACAATATACAATTTCACAATCCTAAATATGACCCATGTTGCATGGGAGTTGTCTTGTACATCTGGCTCAGCTCTTTATACCTAACCTGTGTTATTGGAATGTAGAGAGGTTCTCCTGGATGCAGCAGCGTCAGCTTTCCATGTGGATGCAAACGACCTTCTGGTTTTAAGTTTGCAAGCTCTTTGTTGCCTTCTTTTGCTCCTCCTTTCTTTCCATTTTCCTGCCCATTTCCTTTAAGATCTTCTGTGTCACTCAGACATTCAAAAAATTCCTCTTCACTGTCACTCCATGATTCCCAAGACTTGCCAACTTCTTTCTCCTTATCAGGGTTATCACCAGAAGAACCAGGTGAACGATCGAACACGCTCCCCCTTTTCCCCTCATCTCTTGCCTTCTTTCTTTCAATGCAACAATTTAACATCTAACAAGTTAAAGGAAAAGCAAATTGATTAGCAATTACTTCTCTTATGGAAACTATGTCACAGAAAAACTTGGAACATCACCAGAAAACACGACTGTAAAAGATAACAATTCCATTGAACTTGTTATAACAAAGATTTTCCCTATACATGAAGTCCAGCCCCCAAAATACATGCAAAACTAAATCTATAATAACAATACATTTAGCTAATAATTGCTACAATTTTGACAGTTTCCCCAGGAGAAAAATTGTTCTTAAATTTGTGATATTTACCTGAAGTTTCTGATGCAGTAAACAGCATCTCAGATCAGGAGGGCCATTAGCTAATCTAACAAAAGGTAGAAGTGTAATCATTATCAATTATAAAGTTGAATCTTTCACATACATGTGGTCTTAAATAATGAAATCCAAAAGAGGGGCAAATACCTCATTGAACCCACACCCACCATTTCAACTATGCAGCTCTTCTAGTCTCAGAAGACATGCTAGTGACTGAACAAGCCGAGATGTTAAAGTACTTTTATTTCCTAGAGGTCACTTCTGAAACTCAAGAGATCATTCACACTTGTACAAAATCAACAAGCCCTGCTTTTCCTCATCAGTTTTCCATTGGGAAGTTAAAAGGGTAACTGTTTAAAAAAAAAATTTAATACCTTTGAACTTTACTTTTAAGCTGCAATGATACAGTAGAGTGATCTCTATAAATTTCATCTTCTGTTTCATCTATTTTTCAAATTCTGTTCTTCTGTTTCATTTGAAAGTCCAAACTAAGGAATAAATGGCCAGTCCACCCCATTTAAAAACAAAACAAACAAAAACCCAACAGACAGGATAGATTTTTGCTCTACACTGATACCTTATCTTGGCAGAACTCTGTTTGATCTGCAACAAGCTCTACTGCAGCAGACATAACCTGGAAGGGCTGCAATACTTGAGACAGCATTAGCTGCCTGAAAACACCAGCAGGAACTTGGAACAGCTTCCTGACAAAAGTGGCAAAACCCCATGATGCAAAGGTGTTTTCCCCTACAAAAGCTCCTTAATTTTTCTAATGATAAAATAGAAGCCAAGCATTTGCATACGTTTTTTTGTTCAGTTGTTTGTTTTTGCCCTCATTGACAGAGTGGAGGGCTTTTTAACTTCAGCTTCCCCAAGCATCTCCAAACTTTCAAAGGAGGGCAGAGATGCTTCTCCCAGCTCTCTATCCTCTCCTGCTTTAAGCAAGTAGAGTAATAAAAATAGAGATTAGCATCAGCAATTGAAAAAACAAACAAACAGTATGTTTCAAAGTCACACTGAACTTACTCTGTTCTTGAAACAAATAATATTTTCTATAATAAAGCAACTAAAAAATAAATCTTACCCTGGAATAAGGTAGTTGTTCTCCCACCTGTAGCGCATTTCTAACACAAATTCTTGCCAAAGATGTGCCACTCCTTTCAGTCCTCCATGGTAGAAGTTTATCATACAAAGACATAAAGCTAGTTTGTATGTCAGGCTATCAGAAGGAGCAGATTTAAACTGACTGAAGAGATTCTACATAAGAAATAAAAGAAAGCAGGAAATACAGGAACAATGGCATTTTTTTCCAAAACCATATGTTCTCTTTCCTGTTTGTCAATAGCAACTAACATTTTAAGCCTGCATGTATAAGCTACCAAAAATTACAGTCTTTGGAAGAAAAGAAAGAAATAAGAAAGAAAAAAAATAATTTAAAAAAGTAATCAAAATTTCTACCTAGAGATTCAAAAAGGAAAGTTCTTCTTTCCAAAAAGTTATCTATTACAAGACATAGGGCGACTACAGAGAAGTCTGTATGAACACACACTCCAAATTACTTTCTCTCTCTGAATGTTAGCCAGCAAAACTCACATAATCTTCGTTCTCTGGAGGAGGGTTGTTTCCTGCTGAAGTGCTACTTCTGCTTTCAAATCCATCTGAGAGTTTGTCAGCAGCATCAGGAAATAAGAACTTGAAGAAACAAAAAAAAATATTAGAATTCCAAACTTCCATCAGTAAGTTTTTGCTGCTTTCCCCACTTTCTCCATAAAGCTACTGCTGGTTACATACCAGCAATTCCTGTCATTAACACTGTAACTAGAGTTCACCTGCAGTCCACTTACTTTGCAGAGACTTGTAACAACTTAGGCTGTCCCAAGAATTCTGCTATCAACTGTAAATCAAATGCAGCAGTGGAAGCATGAAATACCTGTTTGATCTGAATTTAATGTGCATAGACAGCTCACTTACCAGAAGAATAGTGTTTAGAACTTCATTGTTTAAAGGTGATTCATCTACACCTCTGTGCTTGCGAATTTTTTTCTTTGCACTGTGAACCATGTTTGTGACTGATAATTTATGGATTGGGACTGGTGCTGGCTCTGTGAGCTTTGACAAAGCATGGGTAATATCAGCAACCTCTACAAAAGAATATAAAATTAATCAGAACAACTCTAAAAAAAACATAAGACTATCTCTCTTTAAAAATTCACCTGTCATATTCAGTCTGTCTTGTACTCATTTTTAACTCCCTGTTAACTATAGCTACATCTCTGTGCTGTCAGGTTCCATATCTGATATTCACTGTTCTTAGCAACAAAGATAAGCAGCAGAATGAGGTCACAAAGGAATCACAGACTTTCCTTGATTTAATTTACTGAAGACTAGTCTCAGTTGGCTGTACACAGTGTCTGCCACCTACTGTAGAAGTACTGCATACCTGCAGACAGAGAATCAGCAAAAAAGCCTGCTGAAGAGCTAGTGTTTAAACCTGATACCAACCAATACACTGCAGGTCACAAAAACTGCTCAACCATATGCTGAAGCTTTATACAAACCTTAAATAAACCCAATATTAATCACTCTATGTATATACTTACATGTTGTAACCACAATTCTGTTTCAGAGTCCTCAGCTAAGGTCCTCAAATCAAAAGATTGTTTCCAGAGTTGCTGCTGATAAACTTCAGAACCTCTCTTTACATTAACATGAATTAACTTTGTCAAAAAGAGGGCAGACAAATTTAAGTGAATAATTAACAGCAGCCAAAATACCCTCATATTGGCAAACATTTCAAGAAAATTAGAGATAAAGAGGGCTAAAGAGACTGTATGTCAAGCTCTAGGAGTAACACAGACCCTACTCGCACTAACACATTTAAAGTGAGCTCCTTCAAAATTAAGACCAAGTATAACCAAAGAAAAGAGACCCCACATTTGGAGTGAAGAAAAGGTGACAATATGCAGGAAGGAAGGGAATGTTCACCAAATACAGCAAGAAAAGCCAAAGAGAGGTACAAAGACATCAAGAAGATGTCAGTGTCTAAACTGCTGAGATAAAGTCTGACCTCTTGGTCAGATAATTTTGTTTAGGGGTTTGTTTTGTTAGGTTTTTTCCTTAAAATTGAGAGGATGACAGCAAAGCCTTTCACGCAGACTAAAGATGCTTTAACCTGGCTGTTAAAACAGGCACTGCACAGTACTTCAAAAAGCTTAAAAAAAAGTGGGGAAAAAATACATAAAATTATACAGAAACATCTGTTTGATGCATGCTCAAAACCACTTGTAAAGTCTTGTACACACTAGCCAAATTTTAAACTCTTGCTTACCAGTGAAAAAAATGCCCACAACTTTAACAGATAACTGTCCTCTGGGGATTTGGGAGCTAAGCTTGCCTGGAATTCATGAGAAATCATTCCATGTAGCACTGTAAGCAGGACACTCCATCTCTCAAGATGCCTGCCTCAGTTTCTCTCTATGATTCAACTGCTTTCTGTCTCTCAATTTTACAGGCCCAGGCCTGGAGTGGAAAGATTCTCATGGGAAAGGAAAGGGCCTAGCAGGCTCTGAGATGGTAACAACCTTGAAAGATACAAACAGAGGCCAAGTTGATGTTTGTAACACCAGCTGCTCTCTGGTGCTGAAGAACACAGAGCCCAACCCAGCCACAACTAGACCTGAAACGGAGATAAAGGAAGAACCAACAGAAAAACAAAAGAGTTTGCTTGGAGGGAACAGGGCTTTCCTGGGTTTTTCCACTGTTTTCCTTTTATTCTCCAATGAGAGATTTTGGAGGTACAGCTAAATAGTTACATTACAGCAGTCAGTCCACTTTATTCTATGAAAAACTGGTCCCACCTATGATCAGAGGACTTCCCATACACTTTCCCAGGAGGTTGCTGGACTTTCTCCTCTCTAGTGGGGACACCTGCCAGAGAGATTGATTCTCAAGAACTAAGACCCACCCAGGGACACCAGCTGTGGCCAGGCAAGGATGAGAGATATTAAGTCCCTTATTGTCTTTATTAGTTAACACTAAGCAGTCTTTCATTGTTAAGTTTTAATTGTCAAGATTGTAAGATCCTTTTAAAGTCGGTAATTAATATTCTAGGCCTAGTATACAACTTGCTAATAAGTAAGTTGCCAACATTTTAATGGTTAACCTTCATTGTTTGATCTAAGGACTAGCAGTATGTTTTACTGTTAATATACCTTTTGCATTCTAACCTTAATTCCTGCACCTATCTCCCAGTTTCCCCACAATTTGACTGTGCTTGTGTTTTCTACTTCAAAAGAGTTAGGACCCCAGTGCTGTTTGCAGTAAATTCTGTTTTACATTTACATCTCCTCTGCTATCTCGTCCCATTCAGGACAAGCACAGACCAGAAAACTCCCAGGAGTATTACAGAAAATGCCTAAGCATAAACACTGATTGATCCAAAGTCAGGAAAAGGGGCTGAGGAAGGTAAAAACAACACAAAACAATTAAAAACAACTAACATAAATCAACAAGATTTTAGTTTTACCTCTTCCTTCTTCTTCAAATGCAGACCTCCCAAGTATCTCATCAGTCGACTCCTTCCGACGGCAAAGCTTGAAGAATTCAGTAAGAAAGTCACCTATAAAAGACACAAAGTTTCTGAACAACCACTTAGTTAAAATATCTGTGAACAGCAAGCTAGCTCTCAAAATTATGCCCAAGGGACAGTCAATTTTATCTTTTCATCTGAAAGAACATGATAATTTGTTCCAAAGCACAAATACCTGTAAAGCACATCATTAAAGGTTAGGAAAACGCACACCTAGACAGCTCTCAGTCACCTCTCCAGAGGACAGCTCTGCGTGCAGTTTAATCCACTTCTTCACCCAAAGCAAGATGAAACTTTTCCCCACAAGCTAAAAGGTGAGGACAGACAAAGTACAGCTCTCCAGGCACACCCATCCTACCTGTCAGACAGGCTCATTCAACTAAGGAAATGGATAAATGCAGAAGGCATATAATAAAATGTAAAGATTCTAGGAAATCAGTATTTTCCCAGAACACACAGAGTAAATGCTTATTCTCCAAGATCTGGTGAAATGACAGTATCAGTGAAGCTCATGGTACACAGACTCAGGATAACCTAAACCAGAAACTTCATTTTTTGCAAAGCTTCTGTTCTTGAAAAAGAAGCCCAAACTATTGTCCACTCCAAAAAAAAAAAAAAAAAAAAAAGGAGAGTGAGGAAACAGGTCTTGAGGTAATCAACAACTCAATCCTAACTTTATATCTTAATAGGTTAAAAGCCATAAGAGAAGATAGGGAATTCTAATGTCTTACCCAGTAGACACTGAGGGTTATCTGCTTTTCTGACTCTCACAGACCACTGGGGTGCTTGCATAGGATCCAGATCACTTAAAAAAAAAGTGTCATGCTGTCACTGTAATGAAGAGTTAAGTAGCACACTCTCAATAAATGTAATGTCATAGCCAGTTAGGCCATGGAAGTCATAAAACATACCACGTTACATAGAACATGACTAACACTCTAATATGCAAGCAAGAGTCTCTGTTCTCAAGCACACACCTAACATGACAACATGAGTTACACATGAGAACAATTCAGTTACAATTAAATTGTCTTCTTTTAAAGCGTATTGATGTTGAAAATGCATTTCTGAACTAAAATAATAAACCACTTTTTTTCATCTTTTTTATTAAGTATCACTATACACTGTTCTTCCTCTCTGTGAGGCTTAGCAGAAAAATCTGGGTTAGTTTTGGGAGAGGGATATCAGTCAATTGTTTCTTCTTTCCACATACCACTATCAACTTTTGCAAAAAATATGCAATACACAGAACTTTTGAGTCCAGCATGAGCATGTGCCCAAAAATTGAAGTCTATGTTCTGTCGATATTACGAGACAGTAGTATTTCTCATACAGAAGTGCATTTCAAGAGGTGTTTTCCCAAATGAGATGTTCTATCAGCGGCCCATAGTGTTCCTCAAAATGAGCTCTCTTTCACACACAAAGCCACACACATTTCAGATGTCACTAAAATGCAGCAGTTCACAAGCAAAGTACACTTCTAGATATATGTAATCCAGACAAAATACTTACGAATAAACATCATTGTCAACAATTATACCTTCTGTTAAGTAAGGCCATGTAGTAGCTAAATGAAGCTCACTGAAACAAAACAAGATTTCGGTCTATCAGTGCTGGTAGAAAGTGTTCTCTTCATCATAGTTAAGAACTTGAAAGGTAATAATAATAGTTCATATATAAGTCCCTCTATGTAGTTTGCAGCCACCTCCAGAAATGTGCATATTTTCCAAGGAGTTTTCTCCCTGCATACGTTCTGTTGGCTATTCTGCAGCACATCACCCAGGACTGCAGTAAACTTGACTGGTGCCTGGCATACAGGACTCTTTCACAACCCCTCTCTCCTTTTGCAGAAATTGTGCATTGTATTTAACAACTTTCACGAATTGCCTACAGCATGAAACACTATCTAATACATTAAAATGATTCCTAGATTTGCGGAGTGGTGATGGGGTGTTCAGACAAGGACACTGAGAGATTGCAAGAACTCAGTTTACAGACTCTCTCTATTTAAGCCTTCTACAAATGTCAAAGTAAAAGATGAGAGGAAGTCCAGTCCCTGAATGAAGATGCACCATTCTTAAAGCTTAACTCCAATCAAGGTACATTTCAACATTATAGTTTCAGAGTGAAACTGAGTACTCCAGAAGTTTACAGTGAAAGATCTGTAAGCCAGTACTCTGAACATGATTAGACATTTTTGAAAATCGTCTTATTTGGTATTAGACCATTACTTTTCACAGATGTTTCTTATGTACTTGAATAAATAAATCATCTGTTAGGGACATACTAAGTGATAGGCAGGCAAAGCTAAGATAAAAATAACATAACTTCCTTAGTAAATAATTGAAGTTCTAAAACAGTGTTCTGAACTCTTATCTTACCTAATGGGATCTTCACAGGCACCAAATGGTAACTTCCCAAACTCAAGGCCTCCAACTTCTCCCCCAACTAGAGCATCTATATCTGAAGACAAATCAATGTTTTCCATATAAAATTAAAGGAATATTTTAAGCAGCATATCATCTTAATTTCACAGTAAAAAAACTGCAGCATATAGGATGACCACAGCATAGCTGAACAGCTAAGCAGAGCTATGGAAATGCAATCCTAGCATATAGTTGAAGTAATAGTTTCCAGCAGAAACTGGGAAGTAATCAAGCAACTGAACATTCAAAAAGACAGATGAAATTCTTGTCATCCATGTTGAAGAAAGGTTATTCCCTTCATACAGGCAAAGACAATAGCTATAAAGGCAGCCTTAGAGTCAATGTTGACACAAGAATTAACAGACACAAATTTGCCATAAAAACATTTAGGCAGAAATCAGTTCCAAGCAGAAAAGGGAAACTCCAGAAGAGCAACTCTGCAGGGTGAAAACACAACTACTTCCAAATATTAAAAGAGTGGTATATTAAGTCTTCTGCAGTTAAAAACTTAATCAAATTATCTGGGAGCTTCCCTGTAATCCTGGGTGCTTTTAAGATGCCTCCCAGCATCCTCTGTGACTTTTCATGTTATATCCTTCAAATATATAAACCAAAATAGACATTCTTCACTGAACAAAAATTTAAATGGATAATAATGTAGTGCAATGCCATTATAATAATGCTCTTACAGCATCTGATCCTTAAATGCATCTGACAAACTGTTTACATACAAAACAAGCCATGTATTAGAACAGTTCAAGTATTTTAATAACTTAATTACATAATTTCCTCTTCAGAGAGGATAAACAACACATTTAAATTCTTTGTTTTTATTTGAGAAGAGCTAATTGAATACAGGTAATAAAGTACAGGTCTAGTTCTTCACAACAAACATGAAAACAAAACTGCATGTAGCAGCAGAGTTAAAAACGATGTTGTCCATCTCCAGTTTCTGCAGTACACTATGCCACTAGCTCCCATAACCACAATCCTCTAAAAGAGCAGCATCTATTCAAACTGCTTAAATCAAGAGATATGATCAGAGTGATACAAGTAATTTATCACACACCAGGGATCCTGACTCAATGAATAACTATAGCAAGGCAGAGAGGCTACAGAAAACATTAACTTCTGTATTTGAAGAAAGAATAAAAAATAAAATCTCTAGAACATTTCCCAAGTTCTTTAGGTAAACTTTACCTACAAAGAGAAACTATTACTTAAAAAAGCATTGATTTTCTCTGATCCTGAAGAACAGGATTCTCTTTAAATGTATTTTCAACACACCTGACGTACAAAGCACACAGGATCAGCTTCACTACAGACTTCTTCAAAGCACACCTTTGATTACTGTAAGAATAATTTTTTCTTAAGCAAAGGAAAGCCAAACAATTAGATAATCAGACCAAGGTCATACAGGTTCTGTCCCTGTAAGTGTGCCCTAAATACTTTAACCTTGTTACATAAAACTACTACCAAGGCCATGAATAGAACTTGGGTATTTCAACTGGTTCTCCATCTTGTGCCTAAAATACCACATCACTAATAGGAATGCACAGTAAGAAGAAACATCTACCTTTTTCCTATAGACTTATCTACCTTTGAGCCAGGAGAAGTTTTAATTATTTTTTTTTCTGATGCTACCTGCATGTTAATAGGTCTGTTAAAAAAAATCCTTGACACCTAAGGAAGAAAGCATTACCATCAAGGAAACATATGAGAGTTCACTGTAAGATTACCAAGTGAGCAAACTCACTCCATTTCTCATAAATAGCATCACTATGGCATAGGTGTAAGTAGTTTAGATATAAGACTATACATTACTTTTCCCCATCATGCAAGGCTACTATAATGAATGGCTTCCTCAGAAATTTTCCCTGCTTGGCTTATTTACTTAAGTTATTCAGAGGACACAAATCTCCTACCTGGTGGCTGCTGTGGCCAGAAATACTGCTGCCAGTCTTGAAGCACATAGGTGAGGCGAATAGCCATGTTAACTGGAGGCAGTGGAGTTAAAGGGCATCCCTTGAAAATATTTGAGAAAAAAAAAAAAATCAATGTAAAGGGTATATCCTTTCAAACACCCCAGGCCTTGCACACAAATTAGTTACAATGGTTTGTAGTAGAGCTAATTTTATCACAATTGCAAGACTCTGAATATTACTAGTAAAGCCAGTGCCCAACAAGACACTCACAGGTAAAAAAGTAAGCACACAAGCTTCCTAAAATGCACGAGACATTCACATGCTCCATTTAGCTGATAATTCAGAAGTAATTCTGTCTCAGAAGGTGTTAGGTTTTCATTAGGGTTTTTTTTCCCCTCAGTGTTTTGATGAGATTTCTGATTACCATTATTAGTTGTGAAGTGTTGCAGTCAGCCATACCATTCCATAAACAAGCACTCCACTCAGAACTCCCACATTTCGTCATGTTCTTCACTCAGCTACAGAGAGTGACAAAAGTATCAGAAGAAAAAGCTACCCCAACCCTCCCTTCTCAAACAACAGAACAGAGGGTTGTTCCAAGAAAAATGTAAACCAGACATTTTTTCTCACACCAGTGGAAAAAAAGGGAAGAAGGTGGTAACACTGAGGAAACAAAACCCATACCAGTTCTCCTTCTATTGCTAGATACTGGCAATATCTGGGAAAAGATTTGTTGGTATTGGCAGCACAAGTGTCATCTTGACAGAAAAAACCCCCAAACGCTAGAAGGCAGAAGTCAACCTACAAGCAACCAGGTAATAAAACACTTATTCTTAATATCAGTTATATACATTCAAATGCACTTACAATCTTGGATTTGAAGATATCCAGTAATCCTGATAAGTGAGTATACTGACTTGGCACTTTGCGAAGATGAACCATTTCAAAGTCAGTTCGAACTCCCGGACCCTGACACTCCCCAACATACATTCGTCGCCACTTGTGATGTATTTGCACAAAGAGTGGTACCTGACTACAAAACATTAATGCTTCAGATTATTTAACATGGCATGCTGTCTTGTAGTCTGTAAAACTAGCTAGATATTTTAGCATACTATTCTTTCGGAATACATTTCCTCCTAGTGCAGCACAGGTTAAAACACTTATCAGGAATCAAAGGAAAATACTGCAAACTTCACCACTAAATGCAACACCCTGCAAACTGTCATATCACAAGCATATCCATTACTTCAGTTACCTAAATTTCAGCCTGTTTTTTGAGGAAGATCAGAGTTACTGTAACCACACATCGGAAAGAAGTCCACTTCCAAAAGTTGTATTTTGTATGCCAGTCATTCAAAAATAAACAGTAAAATAATAAAATAGTAAAACAATAAACAGCTAAACAGTAACAAATATAAACAACACAATCAATCTTTTCAAAGCTTCCTTGGGAACTTTTTTTTTTAAATCCTTCTGTAACACTATTGTGGTGCAAATATAACAAACACTGAATGTATTCTGCTAGCAATTCCATACTTTTTCCTCACAATAACAGTCTGCTAGTTTTACCTGCACATGTTAAAAGGTTTATGCTTTGTGCTTTTACCTACCAGCCAGTGTTCCCCAGTGCAATGGAAACGGAACTCAGCAAAAGGTTACATTTGGATTCACTAAGAACTGCATCGTTATTTGCAGCTGGAGCAATAACCACAAATTCACGTAAGCCATACCTTCAGATGGAGAGAAGAAAGAGCACATTTGTTTTTTTACCAAGCCAATTGAAACAGAATTTTTAGAGATACTGTAAACTGAATAACCTAATTTTTCTCCAACACTGTGGAATTTGTTATTTTGATGTAGGTGCCTCTTTTAGAGAGGTCAAGGACTGAGTGGGCATGAAATGCTGCAGATTCTCCAATGAGAAACTACTGGAATTTAACAGCATTCAACCATGGTACTCAAAATAACTTGAGGACTTCCTGGTCTATCAGTCCTGAGTATTAATAACAACTGTAACTATTTATGCATAAAAACAGTCTCTCTAGAACAATGCTACAATGTGTTAAGAGATCTGCATCACTAAGAATTTGGGTGGTGGTTTTAAGATGTTGCAGCTTTCCTTCTTAATAGAGCATTTAAATCTTACAAATATACAAGCCTGGTTAGTCCAAAAAGAAAATATTTTTTGGGGAAAAAAAAAAAGAAAAAAAAGATAAGCCCACTATGGTGGCTTTTTTGTTTTCTTTTTCTGTGTCCAGTACAAAGAAAAATTTTACTTAAGCTTTAACTCTTGATGGAAAAAACAAAACAATACCAAAAAAATCAAGCAATTGTGCCAGCACCAAATACTTTTCAATGGCTGTGCTTATTTATATTAAAGATGAGAGGCAGTACACGTACCATCTTACCAGGCAGTGAGCTCTAGGAGGAAAGTCATTGTTCATGCACAGCAAGTCCTGCATAGGCAGAGGAAGGGCATCTGCAGAAAAAAATTGATACATAAAAGCATCATCATCTCTTCAGCTGCCTTACAATTTACTTCCATTAGCAATCTGTTTAACGCAAAGCACATGAATAGCAGAAATGTCAGATCACAACCCTCAGACCCCAGAAAATTTCACACAGAAACACATCAATGTGCTGTGAATTCCACATTCTGTAACTGTCTTTTGTCATATCCATACAGGTAAGGGCAAGAGAACTATCAGCTACCTTCTACCAGTTCTTCTTTCCCATCTTTGTCACTGTGTTCTTGTACAAGGTAATGATGGGTAATGGAAAACCTGAAGTCTGCAAATGAAATTTCATCTGATTTCTCTTCCCATGCTCCTGTGGTATATACACCCTGCATATAAAAAAATTGATTATTTGATCACATACATTTAGATTAGCATTCATAAGCCTTGAAAGGCATACTGCCTACATGATCTATTCTATTTAGTAATCTTTTGCTACTGCTAAATATTTTTTTTTAATAGCTAAACATGGATTCATTTATAAAAAAGGAATAATTCACAAAGCACTTGATTATAAAGTGAGCTGAATACTAAAATCCATGCTGCCAATAATCATGTTCCTTGCTAGGACCACATATCCCCCTGAGAAGTCTTCAGAATGATATGGCAACAAAGATGCAGATATATCCTTTCATATTAAACTATGCATTTTAAACATATGCACCCACAACTTCGCCTAAAGACGCAGGTCTCCCATTTGGGATTTTATCTGTAACATTCTACACAAATACTACTTTAATATTTTATTTTAATATGCTTTCACTGACAAATTATTTTGTACCTATACTTTGAAAAACTTCTGTGTGTAAGGATAAATAATTTTAAAACTAAAACACAGCATAGGGAAGTTTCTAGGAAAAAAAACACCAACATCACTGTACAGAATTGTATGCTGATGCTAAAAAAAAAGCAACTTAGACAACCCTTTGATCTGTAAAGGGTGTCTTCTCACTAGACACCAAAAAGAGAGGTCTGGTCTAGAAAAGAAGACATGTAGAAATACAGCTAAGGCTGAAATCTAGTTAATTCGATAATGCTTTTGTTTTGAATACTCTGTACCCTGACTAAAATCAAGAATCACAAAACTCCTCTGGAACCACAGCAACAATTCAATCCAGAACAGATGAATTTATTTGCACTGGTATGCAGAGGAGCTCAGCAATTTCTGTTGCATTTTACAGGTCTGAGAAAGCACTGTAAAGGCCCTAATTAGACTTTGAAAAAAAAATATCTCCAACCTATGCAACACACTGAATCACAAGCAAACCTCAACCATACCTAGGTGAGGCACAACAAAGGCACAAGGCAGGGCAAACAGAAACTCCTTAAGAATTTAGAACAGATTCAACGTTTCCAGATCTAAACCTGAGAATAAAAACATCACCAGTCCCTATATGAAGATCAAACATTACCAGGGAAACAGCCTGTATGGCAGGCAGCCCACCAACAAACTTACAGCAGCTGTTTGTCAAATCACCACTTCTGCAAGATAATTCCCCCATAAAAATCTTTACCTGCCACACCTAAGAAAATAGCAATACATGTAAACATACACACGTGTATTGCTAGCTAGTACTTCTAAAAGAAAATTCAGAAGCAGTAACTGACCTTTTCTAGAGGTTTGCCTGAAGAAATCCCAATAAGTTTCCAGTCATTCAGTACTTCTTCTACTTTTGAAATAAATCTATGAGGGAGGGGAAAAGGCATTAACATTTCCTGAACACTAAGCTTGTACAATAATTCAGCTCCCTAAAAGCAGGCAATATGTTGCCCTGCTATGGAATCCGTTTTTCAAAATCCCAAAACAACAACCAACAGAAAAACCCAGAAGTATCACAATAAAAAACCACAACTGCTTCCTTGTACAAATAAAATGGCCCTCCTATGGTTACATTTCAGACTATAGTTACTTTTAGCAGCTAAGATAGAGCTACATAAGCCTTCGACACAAAATTATAAACTAAATTCAGGTTTAAAACACAGTGCTTACAATCTTTGCCACAGACAGCATCACCGGGGAAAAAAAAGTGTATGAAAAAACCCGATACATTAAGAAAACAGAAGCATTCTTCACCTCAAGGGTTCTGGCAGATTGCTCCACTAACTTTTAAAGCTTTCAGCTACGAGGTGACCATTTGAACAACCAGGAAGCTCCTTAAAAACACACATAAGCCTTCTAGACGTTGCTTCCAACCCCTTGCAAACCAGACGTCGATCCAGACCTTTCACTTGAGCTCAGGAACACCAGGACTACATCCCCTTCACCCACTCAGCGCTTGCGGCCTGGAGCCTCCGGGACCGGGCTCCGGGGGGATCCAGGTGCCAGCAGGTACCGGCCAACACGGC